ATCTCATACCTCTTTAGATACAAAACATCGTTAGTTCATGATTAAGAGTATATGTTTTGGTAACATTTGCGGTAAAATATATTTTTATTCATAGAAAAAGCGTTCCAACTTTTTTTTCGTCTGAGTACACATTTTATTAAAAAACTTTCAGCATCTTGTCAACGCAGTCGCCGTCAAGAGTTGACACGACGCCAATCTCCGTTATATTAAATGTCACCAAGTACACAATCCCTCCTCTAATATAATGTACAATCGGAGAATCTCGCGGTATTCCTGCTTGAATACAACAGTATCCGGTTCGAAGGACCATATTTGGATACTTGACTGTATTTTATATTGTGTAATAAATCCGCGGCGTCCGAAAGACAAAGTTTATTTGCATAGAACCATAGACACGACTTTTTACACTTTGTATATTTTTTCTTAGTATTGCACTCAACACAGTCCACTCTATCTTCTACCACTGCTCACTCAATTGCCACTCCCTTCTAAATCCTCTTGACACGATCTTAATGATCTACAGGTGGTTAATTCACGACACGAGAAAACAATTCTATTGTTCAATTCTGTCACTTTAAGGTGCGCACGTTAAATCACTCGTAGACTTTCATAATTGCCCATCGCTACGTCAGAATCCCTCTTCAACGTTGTTTATAGCGGTCATAATTTAATCAGGATTGAAATATAATACGGGGAAAATTACGAATAGACGCAACGCGCCATAAACCTTGTTTAACGACAAATTTCGTTCAATATTTGTGTAATAAATCAACCGCATGATCTGTTCGGGAGACATTGGACGGAAGTTTGAACGAACCAATAAGACTATCAAAAGAAATGATGACCTTGAATAACCTAGAAAGTCTACAGATTTATGATGAAATAAAAATTTATATTCTCTGAAGCAACTTCAATTTTTATAAGACATGTTGAGAGAGTCATGCCTAAGGTAAATTTCGTGGTCAAAACAGTATTACGCTAACCTTTGCAATTATCTAGTAAGTCACATTTTTTAAATTCAAAAATATTAATAGAATATTCCATTCCAATTAAGCTCTAGGTTTGTGCTAGGATATGGTTCACGAGGATAGTCGAATGGCAGGATTTGAACACTCGACTGCAAGATCGGTAGGTAGTCCATACCCCAAAACATTAGGCTATTGACGCTTACTTTTGTAATAGTAGTGTCAGTAAATAATTATACTTAGTCCATTGTGTGTGGTAAATGCTTACAAACGCAGTACATTCTAACCTCAAAGCTTGTAAGCATTACGACTTGCACCAAAGAATCAAGAGCGTTTAATTACAAATGTTTGATGCCAGTGATAAAAGTATGTGGTCCGATTCTCTAACGAAACAGGCACCAGTTTATATGAGCACTCATTAAAGTCTCCCCTTTTAAAGACCGTAATAACATTGTGTGGGTCCATCACTAGCACGGTGATGTCGGAGATCAAAGCGATTAAAAATAGCGTCGTAAAGTTTACCCCGTCCACTGCATCCAGTAAACATTCTCTAAATTGTAGGAATAATGTAAACAGAATTACTCGCGGAATGGCTGAGGCGTATGAATTCTTTACGACCGGAACTGTTAAATGGTATAGTGCATTGACGGGTAGACAGAGCACAAACATAAACTGGCGCCTAATTCATAAAGAAACGGTTCGTTGTTTAGAACTGTTCAGTAAAGTTAGATTTATGATCTGTGTTGGCGAAGATAGAGAATTTTTTTTTGAAGTAACTTTTAGATTTAGTAGTATTATCTTTTAAACCAAGTGAATTATAATGCGTTGTTACTCTGTGTTTCTTCCTAAGGGCAAAAACAGATATCTTACTAATATTATACGCGAAAATTTAGATGAATGTATGTTTGTTAGAGTTTGTAGCCTACACGGCTAACATATCTCAATAAATTTTGGCATAGTCTTAGGGGTAGTCTAAAAGACCATATACTAGCTTTTGTTTTTTTTTAATTCCACACGGACGGAGTCCCTGGCGAAAGCTATTTCTGATTTTTTTTAATATTTCATCACTAAATATACAAAAACCAACACAACTACACTAGGATCACCAACTAATTTTGGATTGTTTTATGGAAATGCAGCTTTCTCGTTGTTTTAATTTTATTTCGCTCGAAATCAATTACATTGAATCATTCTAATTAGCAAAATCGAGGTAATCCGGGTCGGCCATTATCCGGGGTCACGGGACATTATCTATTCAAATGGGTAATGGCATATGTAGGTTTTTATCTAGGGTAACCTGTGGGGCCTCGCGTGAGTACAGTTACAGAAAAAAGTGATTCCTTAATTACACTACAGTGAGCGTAATTATACACCGAGGTGTTGCATTGTGCAGAATATACTGTTAAATTCCCACAATCAACACAATGCTTGTTTATTTTTTTAATTATTCCACAATTAGTGTCTTTTAATAAAATAACACTTTAAGTTATGATGAGAAATTGTATACTAAAATGTTAAATTAGCATATGTAATTTTATTATTAGTTAGTACTGAATTTTAAATGAAGTTAGAATTTTTAGTAAATTAGTATTGAAGTTAAATAAAGTAAATCTGTAAATAAGACATAAGGAAGTAATTGTAAGTGAATTTTGGAATAACTTTTCAAATTCTTTCACCGTTGAAAGGCTGCGTTGTCTGTGAGTAAAATAATCTAAGTTTCTTTATTATTTTTTATATGTTATAAACTAAGCGACCAGTGGTTACACATAAATCCTGTGGGTTTCTGTACCGCTTATAACATTTCTTTATTGTACTTTTAAATTTATTTTTTTGTCCAGTAAATATAAAAAAAAACTTCTTTATTTAGTTTTAGTAAGTTTTGTTTTATGTAGATACTACTTACGTGCAACTTCGTCCACGCAATATTAAAAAAGTAGCCTATAATATGCCCGTCTATGTCAGCTACACTTCAGTAAAAGTCTGGTCCAAATAGGCCCATTACTTTCGGAGATTACTCGGAACAAACGCGACTTGCGGACAGACATTCAAAAATAAATTAAATGCGATTTTCCTTATCAGCATCAAATATACCATCTTTCCGAAATCTGGAATTTTTCTTTTGATATTACAGACATTCCAATTTTATTATTTGTCTAGATTAAAAATGTTAGTAAGACAATAAATAATACAAAAAGGGACATAAAATATTTTAATACATTCTGAAATGGAACAATCGGTGCGCTTTAAAAAAACTTTTATCATTTCACCGAGGCCGTGCAATTTTCGATATGATTCACTTGTTACCAACTTTTACTCGCCCGGCTATAAAGTGTGCTGGGCATTATTGAATGTCTCGCAATAAACGAATAATGGTTTAAGTTTTTTATAAAACGGTAATTTATATAAAGTCAATTATTTTCAATGCAAATAAAGAGTAATTATATTATAAACTACAATTTATTACTGAATTAAAACAAGAGAGTAGCCTATATGTTCTTCCAGACTATCCTCTACATCTATACCAAATTTCTTTGGAATCTGTTCAGCCGTTTTGGCTACAAATTCTAACAAACATCCAGCCGTCTAAACTCTCGCATTTGTACACTTTCCTTTCCTATCCGTTCCTCATAAGATAAGGGGGAAAAGAAAGGGAATAAAATTAGGCCTCCGAAACGTACTCGGATCAGACTGTACGCGGAATTGCTCCCACTTTCTGACTGTCTTATATGTGGTCGTGGTAATGCACTGGATGAGCCGACACATTCGTGTTATGCTAAAGCGGGCTCTATCACTGTCTAGTAAATGTATGAAAATTTTTAACTATATTAAACGAAGACACTAACTCATTTTTTTTTCTCTAGATACAAACGCCTCGCCTGCATTCAGTCGTGCGAGATCTCCCAGTTAGCATAAACGAAGCGACACGTTTTGAATAACATTAGGTTACTTATTTCTAACTTGGTCAGATCGGGTCTGATTGCGGGTGCACGGTGAGAATTTGAATCCGATATAGAAGTACGTGAGCTTGTTCCCAGTCACAAATATGGATGATCTCTGATCAACAGGCCAGCGAGTGAAATATGTTTGAAAATCGAATAAGGTTCTGTCTATAGATACGGCTTCTTCCTGCTTGTTAAAATATGTCACGAACTATTACGAGAATAACAAAATTGTTATGTCGAAAAAGTTAGAGGTGTTACAATAATTGTACAAATGACGCTTCTAGATTTAGTCTACAGTTTTTCTATTTCTTCACTAAAATTAAAAAAAAAACTTTTCAAGCGAAAATTGTCGATGAATACAATCTTTGAAGTATAAGCAAAACATTGTAAAAATATTTTTTTCAATGCTTTAAAAATTGTCGAGTCAAAAATTTAGTAATCAGTAGCGACGGGTTTCGCGGAGCTTCCCAACGCCCGCTGAAGACCGCTCTTTATTTATTTTTCCATTTTTTATCCTCCAAACTCTAATGATCTCTAATGAAAAGAAGCCGATACAACATTTTTTCTCGCTTTAGTCTGCTTGTACTTTCGTTTCAACATCGCTGCCTCATCGTCTATAGTTCAATGATTCTTGAAAATAATTCTCTTTCAAGGAAAAGGTGTTTGAAAGGAATGTTAAGTGATATTTTATTTTGATGATATTTGATTTATCTTACACGATATTGAAGTATTCAGTCTATATAAATATTATTTTATATCTTTAAATTGATCTCAAAGTACACAACTGTTTATTTATCGTCATTTGTTTATTTTTATATATTTAAAAAATAACTCAGCACATGTGCAAAAACAATATAATATTTCAAAGAATATTTAATCTGTACTCCGAATAAAGATAAAAACAGCGTGAATTCAAAAGAAGTGATGTTTGTAGATAATTCTCTGAATAAAATCTTGTAATAGCAATACAAAATTCTATTTCTAAAATGCAAAATCATCAACGATGTAACTCAATCTAACGCAATAAAATAGAAACGAATCATAACTATATAACAAAGCTAATTATAAAAAAATAAACGTAAAAATTACTTACATTAAATTCACAAAACATCCGGCAATGTAGAAAGTTCACGGTTTTCTCAACTTTATCACTTTCTTGTTTCACAAACAGTACATTCAATAGTCAACAGAACTGATTTTATCTCGAACGTTGTTCCTGCGGACAGCGAAATTTTATTACCAACAGAAAGTGTGGGCGTAATGAGATCCATTCGATAGTCTTCCGTTCAAAACCCTGTCACATAATTCAATGAATCTAAACTATGAACGCATCACTACCTAACCGTGACAAAACCATCAATGGTTCTTGTTTTAATCAATTACTACTTAATTGATTTACATTGCTTGTCCAGTATTGTTCTACCTACGGATGTTTAACAAAAAAACCGTCACTCGAACACAAACAATGCTCTATTGTTATAATGAATTGTTTTTTTAGGTGTTTCTAAAACTGCCTGCTCATTGAAGCCTTTTATTCTACCCACATAATTTAATCACACTGTGAGACTTAATTATTCATTCAATGTTTGCGTACGTTCGAAAACCTCACGTAATTTACTACATTTTAAAAATAAACTTTTGTAAATCATGTTGCAAAATGTAACAAAACTAAAATTCAAACTTCCGTTCTAATGTTACATGTCAATCTTGACTTCCATTAAAACGTTGGACGTCAACATTGTCGGTAACATAGTTCTAATTACAAACGAACTGTTGTATATTTACATTTCATAAAATCAAACAAATCTCATCGCAACCACATCCGCTGAAAGGCAACTTTTCCCAACAAACACTTCACTAGTTTCTTATAATGTCTACACAGTTTACTCACAACACTATCAATACTGTAAAGGTTTTTAGGGCGCACTATCTAGAAACAAACATCCCTTGAACCCGATCACGATCTTAGAAGCGCGGGAGAGTCGTGCCGCAGCGATACATCTCCCTCCGCGTCCGAAAACCGACTGACTGAAAATTATGTTTAGCTGCGACCCGCACCGGCTATGCAACCGAAGCTTAACGAAAACAACCGAATGTAGTTTTAAAGTGGGACAGAGATAGAAGATATAACGAAGGTAGTGAAAGGAGATGGATATCCAGGTAGGGTGGGAGGGATGCACGGGGGTCTATGCAGGTTGGAGGTTCAAATGCACTCAGCCCATAGACGCCATCTCGAGATAATGCTTGTCCCGCGATAAGAGTTAAAATTCTATGACGCAACTGACCCGAATTGTGGCCAATTTTCTTAATGGTCAGTACGATGAAGTAATTTTACGATAACATCGTGTAGATAAATAAACGATCTGTGTCGTACAAACAAATTGAGTCAACCGTTTTACAATTTACGTCCAATTGACTCTATTTGTTGAAATAATTTTATCGCTTGAAAACAACGTACTATCGTTTTAATTCTAATTGTATAATTATAGAGTTTTACATTAGCATGTTGTGTTTATTAACTATGTAGCTCTAACAAACTTTTAACTGATTTTTTATATGAGATTCAGAGGGTTTTTTCAAATTTAGAATGTTTTGAAATCATAAGTAATAATTATGTATTATCTTAATTATAATAAACCGTTAACACACACTTCTTTGTTGCCTAAGATGTCAGCAATTACAACATATTTTTGAATAATTATTCTTTTAATTAAAAGCCCTACTCTTACGTCACGCTTTAGGCTATATATTTTCACGTCATTAAACTTGGAGAATAAATATTTTAGATAAAAACCCTAATGTGAGAAAGAGACCATAAGTTGCTGCCAACATCATGGAAACAAGTTTGCCAAGGTTTGTCATGTCATGTCAGTTTGACATTTGCTATTGATAATTTGACAAATGTAAACATTAAAATAGAATTCTCATAATTTCATGCGGATGAAGCCGCACGGGAACAGCTAGTTCGTAATAAAAATGAAGAGCACACTAGATTAAATCGTTAGACTGAAGAAACAATCGACTATCATATTAAAAACAATTGAATATGTTCTCACATCTTCGAATAAGAATCAGCTAAAATAACTACATACGTGAAGACTTTATCCTTGTTTAATAATACGGATCTCTGTTTATTTTGTCAAATATTAAAGAGGCAATAAAGACGAAGTATTGTCGCGTAAAGAAATAGCTCATTCCCGGCAATTTTAATAAAACCTCGCTTGAAAGCGAGGATGAATATTCTACGTGGAATTGCAATATTATGTTTATGTTATGTTGGTATCGTGAACTCCAACACCAATATTGTGAAAGTTAAGCTTATGTTATGTTTGAAGTGACAGACAATAATCTTCTTAACTTTAAATTCCAATTAGATTCAAAATAGCGCCAATAGCGTTAAGATGGTTGCGGACTTGAATCATGCTATTCTATTATTATCGAAAACACCATAGCACAGCGTCATTTTAGTACAATAAATAGTAATAAATTAAACAATTATGTACTTGTACAATCGTGACAAACATAAATTTATATCATACTAGCTGTTCCTTGCGACTGCGTCCGCGAGAAATTAAATAATTATAAAAAAATTATGTGCAAATTTTGAAATCGCTCTAGTAGTTTTTGAGTTATTTCATCACCATCATCCACTTGCCCTTATGCCTTACGGAGGGTCAGCACAGTATGTGCTGCTCTTCCATACATCTCTATCAGCCGTCATATCTGAATCAGGAGTTATTTCAATACATACAAAAATTGAAAAATAAACACCTTTATAACATTAGTATAGATATATACTAGTATAGGTATCGTTAGGATTCGAAATTTAAAAACATGAATCCATCAAAAGCGCTGCTCAGTTCAATGAGGTTCGTAACAGACACATTGGCTTTCAGAGGGCATAAACATTTGAGTGGGTGCGACTCGCATCAGTCGCTAGACATTTGGAATTGAGACTGACAGTAATTGCGAGAGGCCTGATACACCGGGTGCTGACGTTTGACATACAAATTAACGTATCAACAAATAACGAAGGGGCTTAACGTACGCACATTTTGATGTCAGCTTCCTTTAAACTGACAGCAGCTTATCAGAGTAAATTAAATTCTGGGGATATATCAATAACGGAACTAAGAACAATATACATGGAAATATGTGCGTGAAATTGCAACGCTGACGACTAAGGTGAAGTAGGTACCATATTTCTGATCTTGCTGAAACTACTTCATAATAAAGGGATCCCTGATGTAATTTAATCTCCTTCACCTTCAAAAAGCAAAATATCTCTAGTATTAAATCGAGTCAACTAAATATGTTAGTAATAAACTAAAAAAAACAGTGGTAGAGCCCCCTTTAACATCTTCGCACGAATGGGCCGGCTCGCCCGGTGCAATACCACGACCACACAGAAAACAGGCGTGAAGT